AAAAGAAGGTTAAAAATGATATGATATAGAGCAACTGGGTTCCCGTAGAAAAAATTATCACTTCGGAAAATCGCTATTGGGTTGGGGAGCGGAAGCAGGCGTAGTGTCAGAGTGGCACGCTTTCCGGTGAGATCGGATCCTGGGGTAATGCTCCGCCCGATACAGTGCAGCCTTAGACGTCACTTCGAGAGTCATGTACAGGCCACATGAGATTCGGCGCACTTAGGAATGTAACAAATGAGACGCAAGAATGCGTGCAGAACGATCCCGAAAAGAGATTGATCAACGGCAAATGCCTTATCCTTTTATCAATTGTGGCTTAGCGGTCAAACAGAAGACGGAATGCGAAAAGAAACACGAAAAACTTCTGAACATCTACTGGGACCCAAGTCGTATAGAGTTAGCACAAGTTTGTCCGTTTTGTCTTGCACCTATACCTGCCATTTCGTAAGCCTAATTTCAAAGCGTTTGCAAAGAATGTGGAATTGGAAGGAGCTTGTGGGGCAGACAAACCCCCCTTCAAACGGTATATGTGTAATTTTTGAAAATTTTTGCTTGGAGAAGAAACGACACTACTTATGAGACAACCTAGCACATATGTGCTCGCGCATAATTCATTCGAACAGTTGCTTTTAAGGCTACTGAGGATTGGTGGAACCAACACTGGTATTACAGTTTCACAGATCTGACGCCTCAGGAAAGAGATTTCCGGTTGATACCATTCTTTTTGGTATGCTTTTAAGAGTTCATTGGCCAAGCTCTGAGTGTTACAGCATCTATTCTAGAAAAGTGTAAACTTCAGAAATGATGAGCAAACTCCAATTAGTCGATTTGAAGCAGTGAACTAGAGGGCATACATGCCGGAAAAAAGTCACTCTGATTTTCTTACAACTTTCAATTATTTCCTTTTTGCTTTTCTTTTCTAACCAAGGCTCATGAAATTTATTGCCAACTCTTTTGCCACTGGTAATGTTACGACGCAGCACAATCAGCGGAGAGGATCGGGTTCATGAGAAATGTAGTTAAGGCCTGCGAGCCATTAACACTCTTAAAGGCAAAGTTCGGGATTTCTGGCGAAATTTAGGTTTTCTCCCGTCAAATATGCAGCAGTACGCAAGGGCAGACCATGTGCAGAAGTGGCGGGGCGATTTGACAAGGTTTAGGCGCTAGGGAGCCTAGGTTGGAGCATTGGCGCCGCCCCAACCCCATTGAGCCCGCCCACTTTCCATGCGACCTTCCAAACAACCACATGGAACACTAGATGTTAAGTTGTTATTTGGAAGGTCGTAGAGGAATATTTAGCGAATCGCAACTGCGAAAACCAACATCAAAGCCTATATTAAGACCATTATCGAGAACCTAGTTGATAATCAATTTTTGAGATTAGGAAAAAACAAAAAAGTACAGGTAAATAGAAAAATAGCGAAATTAGAAGCAATCAGTTTTCATTGCTGACTTTTTGTAGCCGTGTCGGTTGCTGGCATAAAGCCAACAGTTGCTGTAGACACGTCCAGACACGTAATTCTCCCAGCCCTGGCTTCTAAGCGAACGAAGAGAAAATTGCTTATTTTGGACTTTTTTGGAAGTACTTCCTGCTTTTCTTTCTTTAGCTTCGATTCACTTAGCACCCCAGTACTTCATAGTTGAAAGATAAGTCCATCGTTGAGCCGTAGGAGTTTGCCTTTAAGCTCGTAGAAGGTTGAAGAAGAGGAACCTATCTAGTGGGGAGACGTTGTTGCGTACGGTGCCAGTGAAGTATTTCATTTTCATTCTGTTTATTCGTTATCACTTTTTTAAACGTAACTCCCTCAAAACCTCAAGCTTTTGTTCCGATTTTCTGAAGGTGAGCACATATCACTATATGTGATAAGGGAGCAAATTTTCAGTTGTCTAGGTGACTTGTATACCAATTTAGGAAATTTTCAATTTTTTTGGTTGGCAATACCATTATTCACTTGTTCGAACGTTTGCAATCTATGAATTCTCAAACTAATTGACAAAGAATATTGGATAATAAAAAACGGAAAAGATTCACACCCGCACTCTTTGTCGCCAGAACCTTTTTTCCATCTATAGGCGGCTTGATATCCGGTCGTAGCATGGACTCACGTGATTCTCTTGGTGGAGGTTTCCCTACGCGATCTTCAGTGGGACGAACTTTTCGAGCTCGTTGTGAGCTTTAAGGGCCTTCAACTTGACTCCGAAAATCATCCTATAGATTTTTGCTCGGATTCAAGTATGGGGACTGCGATGGCATGGCAGTGGAGGAACATTGTTGTTGCGGAACCATTTCGAGAGCGGCTTTGATTTTGCGCTTGGGTCGGAAAATGAAACACTACGGGCGACACTGCGAGCATGCGGCCAGATAGCAGTCATCCATATGTTGAGGCGCGTTTTGGAATCCATTTCAGCCTCGGTCCGATGAAGGTGATCAACCCCTATGCCACAGAAGCTGCCATGCAGTATCACCGCACCCCCTGCATTCGTCACGTCAGCACATGGAACCTCGGATGATATCTGGTACCAACAGGAAGTCGCAAAAACTTGACTTCTTTCGTGCTAAACAGCAAAAACTTCGATTCGTTGCTCTAGATGGCTTTTTGTCACTCTTAATAGTCCGTTTCTTGTGGGCATGAGCCTAATTGAGATGCGCTTTGCCACTCTTGAGGGGAATCAGCGGTTTCTTACTGAGCTACGTCAGAAGAGCCCAGCATCTCTCAGACAACGTCGCACGTTGTCTTCGGACGGATTTAGACCGTCTGGCGTTGAGAATCCGCGGTGAATTTCGGGTGCAGCGTGATGTGAGCCACTCCTTACAAGTCGCACAATGATTCTGTTGGCGAGAGAAGAGGTCATTTTTGCTGCTTCTGGGCACTTTTTGACTTTGGCAGGTTCATGCTCTTGAATTTCTTCCAAGTCGTCCACTGGCGCTCCTTGAACTTCGAAAATCTGCTGGGATGTTAAGCCTTTGTAGAAGCTCCGAAAGATGGCGTCACCTGGTCCTGCCACAAGCTAAGAATTCCCTAATGTCTTGGAATGTTCTGAGTACTGTGTAGGCATATGAAACTGACACAAAACATCAAAAACACACGTGCTCTCAACATGGAAACTCATCGTTTATCAACAATGAAATTGGGTGCCCGCGGACAATACTCGAAAATGAAGCTCCATTTCCCCTTGAAAGGAGGCTACTGCACCGATACACTGCTATAATATTACTACCTGTGTGTGTCAACTGCTGTTAAAGTTTTACTGCAAAAGCTTGAGTTTTGATTTCAAAAAAATGAAAACGAATACTTCACTGCACGGTACTGTATGTCACAAATGCTGGTGGTG